GTCATCCGCTCAACTGGGACAGCCGCGACAGCCGCGCGCGTGTGTCACCCTTATCCGCGAATTATGGTAATAATAATGATGACGAATCATGACAAGATTAACTTTCGCTTTTATTTCATCATAATTTGCCAGAATATATTATGACACGCGCTTGCGCGATTGTACAAAATAATTGCGTAACGTAACGACATTGCGTAGCCGCGAACTCTATCATTTAATATAGTAACTCTTTAATCACACGTAGCTTTAACTGGAACAAACTTTAACCTTCCATTTTTCGTCTGGTCCCTCACTACAAAAACCATTCAAAATCATTCCACAAACAGTATAATTGCCTTAAAACCACACTCTTGTTTCTTGAACCAAGAGAGTACAAGATCTCTGAAGACTACACTATTTACACGTTGATAAACCTGGGGCGTAAGACGCACAACACGCCCATATCGTCCGTTCAAACGGATGGGCTGGGAGCCCAAGCTGCCGGGCAGACCCCACGCTCCGGCCACGGGGTATCTCCGAGCAGCGCAGTGAGAGGCGCCCGCGGTGAAGGGGCCCCGCGTCATCAACGAGGAGTAACGCCGCCCGCCCGAGACAAATGTTCACTGATGGCCCCTCGTTGCCAGGAGCCGGACCCTGGGGGCCCAAATGTCCTCCAATCAGCGGCGCCCTGACATCCTCATTCCCAGAGGAACGTCAGCGCCAGGACGGAGGCGCGGGGGTCGGGTCATTCATGCGACCCAGGCGGCCTCGGGCGGCGGCGGCGGCAGCGTGGGGGCGGTGCCGGGGGCGGTGAGGCCCACCACGCTGATGCCCAGGGACGGACCCTCCGCCCCCGAGCACGGCCCGCCTCGGCCCCGGCCCGCCCCCGGCACCCCGTGTCAGTCCGCCTTGAGCGGCCAGCGACGGCACTCGACGGCCACGAGCGCGGCCTCCGCGGCCAGCGTGCCCAGCGACAGCCCCAGCTGCACCATGGACACCACCAGGATGTCCCGGTTCCTCTCCTCGGCGCTGCGGACGCAGAGGAGAAGCCCGCGTTAGGACTAGAGCGAGTCGAGCATTACGTCACGATCGGCCCCGAGCAGACAAACCTGATCCTAAACTGCGCCACGAACGCCGTGACGGCGGCCACGATGAGCGCGGTGTGGAGCAGGCAGGCGGACACCCAGCAGGCGGCGAGCGGGCCCACGCGCCGCAGCCGCCACGCGCCGCCTCCGCCGCCCCCGCACCAAGTGGCGCAACAGCCGCCACCGCCGCCCCCGCCGAGGCCCCCGCGTCCGGGGCCGGAGAAACTGCGGCTCAGGTGGATGCTGACGGCTGCAACAGACAAAGCAAAAGACGCCCCCGGGCGAGGAGCGCGCCGCAGTGTAGTCTTCTGGCCATATTTGTGTCTCCACTCCAACCCGGGTCGTATTCCCCGAAAGAGAGGAAAAGAAAGAGCGAGGGGTTGCCGAACTCCTCCTTTATTTCCAGCGCGACACTGACCGATTCGCCCCACACAAAGGCTGCTCTCTGGCGCCGCCGGAGTGGGATGAAGTTAAGGGGGAAGGCAATACTTTATCTCCAAATCATAGCCAGGCCTTCTCCGCCGCCGCCGTCGGTGTCGAGGGCCCTCCGGCCCTAGACTCCCGGCCCGCTGGAGTGCAGGGCAGGCCCACTCGAAAGAGGCCCTGGGGCTCTACCCCCCCCC